GGAAAGAGTTTAGGTTTTTTTAGCCTCAGCTCTGTCAGTTTGAACATTTCTAAAACCGAATTTCACATTTAAAAAATCTTAGGATTCTAATAGATTTTAGTGACTTTGAATAGGTATCAAGGGTTAAAGCAAAGAATTTTAAGAGTCTCCTTTTACAGGCTGCATCTCCTTCCAGTTCATTGCAACTCCCTTCTATCCCCTACCCTCAGCTTTTATTTAATAATAGAAGGGCTGTTTATACAGTGAGACCAGCTCTCCTTTTATCTAAGAATGGTTTAGGAGGCTTGATTATTCCCCTTCTTTCTGCACCCTTTTTTTGGAGTGGGGTCCTCTGAGCCTGCTCTTACTTTCTTTGACCCTGTGCTTTCTTTGCTGCTCTGTAGTCTTCCTCTTCCTTTCTCGTTTCCACCCCCCTTTTTTTTTTCTTTTTTTAGAGGGTTTTGCTATAGGGCGTGGGCGTTCACCAGATAGAGAGACAGAAAGCAAGAAATCACCCCCCAGGGGGGATGGCCGTGCCGCAATCCCTTCTCCGTTCTCCTCTCGGGATCTGGGGCACGCACGCACACACACCCGGCATGAATTTTAAGCTACCGGGTCCGGGATGTGAACCACAGTCGACTATGTGGGAGTCCAGCAACAGCCGTTACGCTAACTGCTGATGCCTCTCTTTTCCCCTTTTTTGAAATTCCTTTTCTACTGCTAGAAAGCTAAAGCTGGTTCCCGCAATCTAAGTTCCGAGGGCTTTTTGTTTCAATAATAGATGATGTTTTCCTTTTCCACACTAGAGTTTATTTATTTATTTTTATGCACATTGGCTATATTCTTTTCCTGAAACTACTGTTCTGATGATTTTACCTTAACATCCATCTCAGATTATTTTAAATTGATCTTAAGGCTATCTTTCCTGTACTTCCTTGTTTATCATCTTTTTCTTCATACTTATGTAAAATTTAATTTTAGCTCTCCCTAAAACTTGCAGTTGTAGGTCATATTTCATGTGAGATTTAGATTCAAACACAACTTTTAGGGCTTCAGGGAGTGTAGTTCCACAAAATATGACAGTGATGTAATGATAAAGACTCTGGATATTAACCAGCAGAAGATATACTCAATTTTATTTCTAAAATTTTGTTTACTTTTAATAAACCTTTCTGCTCTTTGTATGCTTTTATCTGGTTTGATTTGGGAGTTGTAATCATCACATTTCTGTGTAATGACTAATGAAAGGTAAAGCATGGTAATGGCTACTGGGCTGATTGTGATTAAGATAACTTGTCTTTCCTACTGATTAGTCCTGGGCATAATTTCATACTCTGGTGATGATTAGAGATTGTTCTGTATGTAGTACAGGTGAATCTAGGCAGTGCTGGCAGATTTGGGTATGATTCTAGCTACCCTAGGTTGGATTAAAAAGAAAAAAGTCTTGGGACCATCAAGTGTCATGGTGATTAGGGTACTGGACTCCCACATGGCTAACTGTGGTTCAAGTTCCAAACCGGGAGACTTGAAAATCACACTGAGCGTGTGTGCATGCGTGCCCAAGAACCTGACAGAAGAATGGAGAAGGGATTGTAGTGCGGCCATCCCCCATGGTGGTGGTTTCTCACTTTCCCTCTCTCTCTGTCTTCCTCTTTCTCCATTGAATACATGTACCCTATACCAAAACTCTTAAAAAAAAAAAAAAAAGAAAGAAAGAAAGAAATTCTTGATTGTAAATCTTTCATCTGCTGGGGTTTTAATTAGTATTTTTTTTCTCTTCTTCACTTCAGGATTTAAGAGAGGTGCAGATCCTGGGATGCCAGAACCAACTGTTTTGAGGTACTATTCTTACCAATAAATGTTCCAGGGCAAATGTTCTTGTAGTACTGAATCTTTGGAAAGCAAAGAATAGTAGAGGTAGGCATTGAAATGGAGCTTTCCTAGTCAGGATAGTTTTGGGCTACTGGAAAATTCAGCAGCTTGTCGACCAGTCTAGCTTGTGTTGATGAGGTAAGCACTTTTTCTCCCTTTCCTAATTTTTATATACTCTGCTCTGTTATTACCATAATAAAACATATTTTAAGAGAAAGAATTAATTTATCCTACTACTTTAAAAGGTGAATGATTTTTGATTTCCTATATTTGCATCTTATCCATATTCAGATGACTATAACCTTTCATATTATTCTAATAAGCCTACATAAGATTTTTGTTTTCTTTCTTAAAGTTAGAGTTGATATCTTACAAATTTTTTTGATGTATATTACATAGGTTTTTAAATTTTTCAGTATTTTACACAAGAATAAAACTTTTAATTTTTTTTTTTCTTTTTACTAGAGGGTTAAAAAGAGAGGGAAAGTGAGAGAGCACTCTCCATGAAGATGGTCAAGCCTCAATGCCTTTGCCATTTCTCCTTTTTGGATTTTGGATATGTGTATATACACACCTGGCATGTTTTTCAAGCCACCAGGTCTGGGTCTTTAACTGCACAGATGGCCATGTAGGAATTTACTCCTTAACCATCATGCTTCTGGATGGTCCATATTAGTATATTTTTATACACATAACTTTTACAGATTTTTATTTCTTAGATTTTTTTTTTAATTATAGTATACATGAGTGTACATGTGAGGGTGGAGAGAGAGAGAGAGAGATGAGATGAGCATCCTGTCCAGGTTCAGGTTATGCCCTGATTCCCATCTTCATGTCCTCCAGCCCATTGGATCTTAGGTACTTGTGGTATGCCTGTCATGCCTGTCATGTTTCAGCCTGATTGGCCAGGGATTCAACCCACAGTTGTGTGGGATCTGGCTTCTTTTGAGCAGCACATATTACTGTTGTATCACAGAGCTAACCCTACTTATTTTCTTGTGATAAATTCATAAGTGAGATTCATAAGTTAAATAGAATGAACATTTATGGCTCTGAAAATGCATTGTCAAATTTTTTCTCAGAAACAACATTGCGGGACCAGCAGTTAGCGTAATGGCTATGTCACTGGACTCCCACATAGTCGACCACGGTTCGAATCCCGGACCCAATAGCTTAAAACTCAATGCTGGGCACGTGTGCGTGCGTGCCCAAGATCCTGAGAGGAGAATGGAGAAGAAGGGATTGTGCCATGGCCATCCCTCCTGGGGAGTGATTTCTCGCTTTCTGTCTATCCGTCTCTGTCTGGCGAGCTCAAAAAAAAAGAAAAAGAAACAATCTTGCTGATAACACTTGTGAAATCTTCATATATATATGAAAACTATGCATATACATGAGTACATAAAAAGATGAAGATAGACTCTTGAATAGGCAGTATTGCTCTAGGGGAAGGACTGATAATCATGGCACTGTGATGACCATGACTACTGCATGTTGGTATATGAGATTTCACTTTGATCCTCTGTCTCAAAGTCACCTCTTCCCCCCCCCCCCACTCCCACCCTGTAGGGTATGTTCACTCCTTGTAGAAAGACAGAGAGAGGGAAAGTAAGAAATTATCCCCCAAGGGGAATGGCCAGGCAGAATCCCTTCTCCATTCTTCTCGGGATTTTTGGGCATGCACATGCGTAAACCTGGAGTGATTTTTCAAGCTCCCAGGTCTAGGACTTGAACCATGGTCAGCCATGTGGGAGTCAAGCACCTTAACCACCACACCACTGCTGGCTCCATCACAGGTGCTGCTTGATTACCTTAAGACTTTTTTTTTTTTTAAAGGTTTTTTTCATAGGGCATGTGCATTCTCCAGAGAGAGGTGAAATGACAAATCACCTTTCTTGGGGGGTGGCCACACCACAGTGTGGCCACAGAAGGCACCACAGTGTCTTCTCCATTCTCCTGTTGGGATTTGAGCATGTAGGTGGCAAGAGACAGAGACAGAAAGTGAGAAATCACCCTTCAAGGGGGATGGCCATGCCGTAATCCCTTTTCCTCCATTCTCCTCTCAAGATTTTGGGCACGCACACATACGCGCCCAGCGTGAGTTTAAGCCACCAGGTCTGGGATTCAAACTGCAGTCAACTACATGGGAGTTCAGTGACATAACCATTATACCAACTGCTGGTCCCACATTTAATCTTATATGATTTTTAGATTGAACCTGCACACTGGAAAATAGCATTTTTTGTGTGTGTGTGCCTTAGGTGATCTAGATCTCAGAGGTTAGGATAGGAGGTATCCTTTTATTATGCCTTTTTTTTTTTTTAAATTGCCAGATGGCAAATGAGCTTGCCATAGAGAGGGGGAGGGAGAAAGCACCCACCCAAAGGTGCATGGTTATGCCACAAATCATTTTCCTCCATTTATCACATAAGATTTTCAGCATGCACACCCATGTCCTGCTGCTTTTTTTTTTTAATGTTGTAACACTTTTTATTAAGAGCAAACTCATCCTGATAGAGAACTGAAAGTCAAAGGACATTAGGGATTGTATATAATAGACAAAAACTGACATTTTCTTTTTGCCATTATACAATCAGTGCATAGTATTTAAGCAAAATTGAGTCCTTATTAAGCAAACATTTTTACATTCATTGTGTTCTCTTTATCTTTCTGTGCCTTTATCTTTTGTTTGACTTTTCATCAATTCTGCTTGGATAGCTTTATCTTCTGGTGTTATGTCCTGACTTTTCTTCAGGTCAGCCAGTGCTTGATCAGATTCATTTCATCCTTGCCATACTTGAGTTCTGTGGTACTGTGCTTTAGCATTTGGTGGGTCTGTTTCAAGAGGCTCCAAAGAACTGTCGATTGCTACATGCCAATTTGTCATCTTCAGTTTACAATCAGCAATATTTAGTGCACTGCTTAAAGCTATAGGCTGCTGCTTGGATCTGTCTGCTTTCTCAATAGTGGACATTGAGCCTTCCACACACGTCTTAAAACTTTGGCATATTTTTCAATGGCCATCTCTGACTTCTGGGATTTGAAAAACATTTCCAATATTTTTAAAGTCTTCTGTGGTTAATAAAATTTTGTCTGTCTTTTAAATCTATGTGCATCCTCAAGGAGATCAGGATGACTCTCTTCAGAGCTATCTTTCAAGAGTATTCCCCATTCATCCCCTTCCTTCAGTTCTTCACATTCAGCAATAACTCAGAATTTGGCAGGTATTTTGTGTTTCATTTCCACATTTTCCATTATCCTTGCCACATCCATCCCTTTAATTACTTGACCGAACACATTTCCCATCCAGATGAGGAGTTGGCACTGTTGTGTTAAGAAAAAGAGCCATTTGTACTGCAGCCTGCATTTATTGTGTTTGATAAGCTCTCCCAATCATACTTATAGAAATTTTCATCTTCAGGTTTTTTTTGTTTTTTTTTGTTTGTTTGTTTTTAATAATTTGCTATAGAGTGCGTATGCTCGCCAGAGAGACACAAAGAAAGAGAAAGTGAAAAAACACCCCCATGGGGGATGATCATGCTATAATCCCTTCTTCACTCTTCTTTTGGGATTTTAGACACACATGCACACACACACCTGGCTTGTTTTTTCAAGCTTTTGGGTCCAGACTTAATCCATGTAGTCAGCCATTTAGGATCCAGCTGCCTTAACCTCCACACCACCTGCTGACCCTCATCTTTAAATTTTTCACCTTAAATACTTTGTCCACCTGCCCTATTCTGGTTTGAGAAGTCTTTACCCTGAATCATAAAATATCTTAGTAATTCTATAGAAAGGGCATCCTTTGAAATGGAGAGGTTTTCCAGTCATGGGTCCAAAGCCACCTTCTTTACACAATGCATGAAAATATGTTTTAATTTGGGGTACAATATCTGCAAATAATTCTAAGGAAATTTGACTAACTCTAACTAACTTGCTAATGTCTACATCCAGGAAGGCTCGGGTTGCTGGGGTTGGCAGAATTTGCTTCGGGGGAAGGTTGTGACATCTCCATTCACAAATGCATGTGGAAACCCAACCTGCATATTGCGGCTGTTGACAGCTCAGCCTCTTCAACGCCTCTCTCTGCAGCCAGCTTTGTTGGCCACCTGGGGTGTTCACTGGGGCCAGGATTCACACTGTGATAGGCCATGTGGGATCTGGCTCCCTGTACACAGTACTTAACTTCTGCACCACTGTGCTGACCCCATGCTGCTTTTTTTGGCTTCATTTGTCCTATTAAGACTTGACCTTTCAGAGTTGGAGAAGATGAAGTAACTATCCTGCCTTGCTTTTTTATTTGCTTTTTCACTTGCTTCTTTATTTCTTCACTTTATTGTTGCAGTGTTCCTCTCCTTTCTTGTGTGGCCTTTTTTTTTTTTTTTTTTTTTTTTTTCTAAGAGATTTTTGTTATAGGACATGTGTGCTTGCCTGAGAGAAAATGAGACAGAAAGCAAGAAATCAACTCCCGGGGGGATGGCCTTGTTGCAGTCATTTCTCCATTCTTTTCTCAGGATCTTGAGCGCAAACACACACACACACACACACACACACACACACACACACACACACAAGCTCGGTGTAAGTTTTAAGCCTCTAGGTTTGGGACTTGATCCACAGTCGACTACTTGGGAGTCCAGCAATGTCACCATTATGCCGTCTGCTGGTCCCTTGTGCTGACTCTTAATCTTTTCCATCGTTCAAAGCATCTTCTGATTTCCTTCTGGGGATATTTGTGTTTTAGGAAGGACTTGATTGAATACCTGTAAATAGTTATCCAGTTATGTAATTTTATACACTGTGCTGCCTGTGCTTGAGGACACTGACTACAGAGGTCTTCCTGGACTGCCTAGTCCATACACTGAAAAGAACAGAATTTTATTTGCTATGATTTTTAATAATATAAAATTTATTGTTTATTAATATAAAGTCTATTGTTCCCATGTAAATTTATTATTTACACAGTACTTATTATATGATTTACTGGTTTGTTTCCCTTGCCAAGTTGTTGGGTTCTTTGGTATTAGGACCTTGTTTATCTTAGTATATTCTTTCATCTGGGGTGGCTCAGTGTACATGGTTAGTAAATAATGGTTGACATGACTTCCTTATTCAAATGCAATAATTTAATGAGTAAGGGGCTATATCTTAGTAAAGCATTATTTAGGCAAAATATATGAATTCTGAAGTTAACCAAGATAAATCATTATTGCCATTATCTGTATAAAACTAAGGAAGATTTTCTTTATTTTTATATCTTAACATGCAAAAAGTACTTGAAGCTTAATGGGAGATATTAATACAGCTTTGAAAATTGGAAATTGTACTAGCCGGTGGCATGATGGTTAACGCAGCTGGGTCTGACATAGCCGACTGTATAGTTCCAGTCCAAAACCTGGCAACCTGAAAAACATGCTTGGGCGCCTTTGTGTGCCATGCCCAAAATCCTGAGAGGAGAATAGAGAAGGGATTGCAATGCAACCACACACACCTTCCAGTGTTTTCTCACTCTCTCTCTCTATCCTGTGAACACACATGCTCTATAGCAAAATTTAAAGAAAAAAGAAAATTGGAAGTAGATATATTGTTTATCCTTAGGGAAAACACTATTTAAAAAAATAAAGTTTACAGAGCATCAAATTGTAGTTTTATAGTACATCTTTTTTTCTTAAGAATTATTTACTTAATTTTATTTTTCAATATTTTTTAATTTTCCCAGAAAGAGAGAGAGAGTGAAAGCAAGAAAGCAAGCCACCAGGTCTGGGACCTCAACTATGGTCAACCTTGTGGGAGTCCATTGCCCCAACCACTACACCACCTGCCAGCCCGTAATGGATCTTTTTGAATTGCCAGAGAGCATGTGCACGCTGTAGGGTTGGAGGAATACTACCCAATTAGGAGTGGTCATGCTACAATACTTTCTTTGTTTTTCTGTCTTGTCAGGATTTTGGACATACCCACACATGTGCCTAGTATATTTTTCAGGCTTCCAGGGCCAGGATTCAAACCACAGTTGGTGATGTGGGATCTGGCTCCCTTAACCACTATGCTATAGTGCCGACCCTATGCATATTTATTCAACTGGTTTAGAAGGCACATTTTTAATTCTCAGGATTTAGAAAGGAAAATTCTCTCTCCTTTTCTCCTTTCCAGATCCTGTTGCTTAGGACAAATGATTTGGGAGTTGGGGCTCCTTAGTGGCTGGAATGTTTGGGGAAAAAATTAGTTTAGGTGAACATAAGGGCTCATTGCTTCTAGGAATATAATGGCTAAGAGTGCTTGGATTACATCCCACTACCTACTTTAGATATGTAACCAGCTCAAAGTCAGTTTCTATATCTTTAATATAGGGATCATAACTGGGACTTGTGAACTTTCTGCCCAGTATCTAACCCATAGAACTCATTCAATAAATGTTATTTTAGATTGATGATGTTGCATCTAATAATGATACAGCTTTATAGGTTTATCCATCCTTATAGCTAATGAAAATCATCATTTATTGTTTTATTACCCTTTTTTTACATATCAACTTCATTTTTCTTTTTGTTTATAAAAGAATTGCACTGAAAAATAAATAAAATGTATTTTGTTAAATATGTATTCGATTTTTTTTGCATAGTGAAATTGATCCTTGTAATAACTTGTATTTCATAGGTGAACACAAACATAAATGTATACAATCTTCTAGTTCTTAACCTATGTTTTGTTGTTTTTTGGGGTTTAATTCATTTTTCCTCTTCACTAACATTTTAGCTTACTTTGGGGATAGAGGACTATTTGGTCATCTGGACCGGAAGCAATCAGTGGACAGGAACACATGGAAAGTGCTCTGGCTGGGATAAGAAATGCAACAGCGTTCAGATGGTCACCACGTGGATGCTGCAGGGCTCTTCACAGATGCATCTGGGGCAGAGTAGAACCTCTGCTGACTTATTTATGTAGAATGTATCAAAATAAATATTTTCTCAACAGTGTTATGTCTTGGGTCTTTTTTGAATTGGAAGAACTAAAGAATCTCAGAGAAAAGTTAATAACCCTTTTGGTAGCTTTTCAAAAAAGGGAACATATATACCTATATGCTAACTTAAATTTTTTTTTTTTTTTAATTTCCAAGTCTGTTACTGCCCATTTACTGCCATAACAAATGGATTACAGTTTCCCTTCTTAGTGTAACTCCCTATGGGATGTTCGGAGGTAGTAAGAGTAGAGACAGTTCTTAGTTTGTGATAAACTGAGGCATTGCCCCCTCCATTTCATTGAAGTAAAGTTCTGGCTATAAGAAATAGGGGTCCTGGTGGCTCTGTTGTTAGGGGTGGGGATAACATTGGGGAATTATGTCTCTATTTGTAGGTTAAATATGAGTCTTAAGATTTTCCTCTGGTGGTAGGAAACCAGAGCTGAATAGACAAGAACCTATGGAGAGCTGCATGGATTAGTAGCACATTTCTATTTTCTAGTAGAAACAAGGCAATCAATTGCAAACTGAGGTTGTTGGGAAAATCGTGATGGATTTTTGCATAGAAAAACAAAACTATATTATGACTTTCCTGACAATCTAATAGTTTCCAGTTCTCTAAATAAATAAAATTAAACCAAATAATTATTTTTTAAAAAGGGGGAGGTGGCTGATAGGTGGTGTGGTGGTTAAGGGCACTGGTCTCCCACATGGCTGACCACGGTTCAAGTCCTAGACCTGGTGGCTTGTTTTCTTACTTTCTGTCTTTCTCAGTCCATCTCTGGTCAAGTTTTAATTAACTGATTTTTTAAAAAATAGTTTTCCGTTCTAGATTCTTGTTTCCTGGAAACTTCACCTATATTTGAATCTTTTTTTATTTAGTTTTTTTATTCCTATAACTAGACAGCTCTGTTTACTTAGTTTTGAGAGCTATAATTAAATGTGGAAAAGTAGAACCTGAAACAAGATAGGACATAGTTTGGGAAGAGCACTGTGGGTTGAATGTTTTAAACACCCAGTGTTTTAAGTAGAGAATGATCATGAATGTAATCCCTCTCAGGTGTTGAGAACTATAACCAGAAAGTTCTTTGTTTCTTCTAACATAAAAGCCTTTTTGCTATTTAAGCTTGTTTCCTCAAGTTTGCCATAGAGACATGAAAGCCTACTGTGGAGGCTTATTGCATAAGGGAATTTTAAAGTGGAAATCTTAAGAGCTAGCTGCCAGCAAACCGTTTTTGGTAAATACTTAATGTAATTGCTTTGACAACATAGTGATCTGGGCACGTCTGATTTTGCTAAGAACTGAGTATTTCTAAAATTCCATAGAATTGGTTAAGTTTGTGGTTCACCCAAATCCTTTTTGCTAACTACAGTGTCAGTGAATATTTTTTACTTAGTATTATGGTATATATCATTCTTCACTTTCTCAGTCAAGATTTCTAGAAATTGAGAAAGTAAATATGTGGCAGTTTTCTATTTTCATAGAAGAGTAATGTGGGTAGTAAACCTATCTGACTTTGTGTTTTTTTAGGGGTTACCTTGTAACAGTCTATAAAAAAAATCCAAGGGTCACAGATGGCCTCATGGCCATCTGTGGTTTGAGTCCTGGACCAGGTGGCTTGAAACTCATACTGGGCACATGTGCATGCCTGTCCAATGTCCCAGGAGGAGAAGGGACTATGGCAGGACCTTCCCTCCTACCCCTAGGAGTGATTTCTCACTTTCCCTTTCCTCAGTGAGTGCACATGCCCCAAGGCAAAAAAACTTATTTTGGGAGAGGATTTTGATATAGGGTGGGTGCACTTGCCAGAAAGCAGAGAGACAGAAAGCGAGAAATCATCCCCTGGGGGATGGACACGCTACAATCCCTTCCTCATTCTCCTCTCAGGATCATGGACATGCACCTGCGCCCAGTGTGAGTTTAAGCCACTGGGTCCAGGACTCAAACTGCGGTCAACTACTTGAGAATCCAGCACATAACCATTACACCAACTGCTGGTCCCCAAAAAACTCTTAAAAAAATAATAATCCAAAAGATTTTAAAGAAAGTAATCCAGAATTTAGTAAGAGGGGGAGCAGTTCCCTGATCTCACTTCTGAGGATGCTAAGGTACAGTTTAAGCACTTATTGAGGCAGTGAGTAGAAGCTGAGACTAGCATACAATTTAATCTGTGTGTTAAAATTTGTGAATAGTTTAGCTCCTAAGTTTTACTGAATTGTAGTTTTGAGGGCAGTCCAGTTCATCTCAATAAGCATTGGTCTTGATTCTGTGCTAGACACTGGAGAGTCATTATTTCTGACCTTGATTAGCCTAAGGAAAAAGGGTTGATAAGGCCTGGTTTGAGTTCTGGCCCTGCTACTTAGTGCCTAGAACCCTGGGAGAGATGTCACTTAATGTTTAGGTGTCTACAGAAAATAGGGACAGTAATACTTGCCCCACGGTGTTATTTCCTAAACTGGTGGTTTTCATAGCTGGCCCCAGACTAGCATTTCCTGGAATCATGATAGAAATACACATTTTCAAGCCCCATTCAGACCTGAAACTGGTGGTAAGACCCAGCAATGTGAGTCTTTCATTTCTTCAACCATTATGTAAGTTAAATGTAATGTTTTGAAAAAATTATAAATTTATCTGCAAAATTCAAAATGATACAAAAAGATCTTTGCATCCTTTAGTTTCTCCCAGTGGTAACATACTACAAAACCATGGCACAACATCAGAAAGTTGACAGTGATGCAGTCAAGACAACATCCATCACAAGGATTGTGTGGCCCTTTTATAGCCAACCCTTCTCCCTGCATACCACCCCTAGTTTGCACCTCTGGCAGCTACTAATGTTTTTCCTTTTTATAATTTTTTCATTTCATAAAAGTTATTTAAATAGAATCAAGTAAGTAACCTTTGGGGGTTGACCTTTTTTCACTTGGCATAGTTTTCAATACATTCATCCAGGTAGTATTAATCAATAGTTCATTCCTCTCTACTGCCTCATAGTATTGCATGGTATGGATGTAAATGGAAGATGTTTTGGTTCCCAGTTTTTAGCTGTTAGGGATAAAGCTGCTGTGAGCATTTGTGTACAGGTCTTTTTGTAATCAGATCATGCCAACACAGGCAGAGTCAAAGAGCTGTCTCATGTCTAAGCAAGGCTTGGGTGAGAAAACTTGCTGGCAAGGACCAAAACTGTGAGCTCAGACTTTCAAACTGTGTTTGCTATATTTCTCTGCCATGGGCTTTATTGCCGTTACGGTACCCTGGTACCCCATAAGGGCAAAATAACGTCCCCAGCCTTACTGTAACTTTTACAGTAAAATCAACCAATAATCCTAAAAAGAATTTGGACTCCTAAAAGCGGCAGCGAGCTGGGATTGAGACTCACTCCATCTGCCTGGAAAATAACAAAGAATGCTGAAGCTCCTCTCAGAGCAGTCAAGCTGCTCACAAGACCACATTCCTTTCCCATGTAGACATTAGACTCACCTGCTTAGCTGTGGATTACCCCAAAGATAATATAGATGTTCCACTTTAGTATATATTAACCATGTTTTTACTTAACCAAATAAGATTCCTGTTTAGGCCTCCGGCCAGAGACTAAAATTACCAAGTGGGCCTGGGACTGAAGTTATCAAGCTTGCTGAAAACCCCCACACCCAAAAGACTCTACCCAGTAATCAAGATCTAAGAAGACAAATGGAGTCTCTCGCCCAAAGGATTGTGGCTGTTTATACCTAATCTAACAGAACAGACACCGTGTTTTATGATTATGTTTTGAATACCCTATTTTTCACCCTGAGGACTGTAACTGTTTATACCAAATCGAACAGAACAGACACCATGTTTTATGATTATGTTTTGAATACCCTATTTTTCTCCCCGGGGATTGTAACTGTTTTTACCTGGTCAAACAGAACAAACATCATATTTTATTGTCATGTTTTGTTTGTTTTTGTTTTTGTTTTTTTTTGGAGAGGTTTTCACTATAGGGTGTGTGTGCTCGCCAGACAGAGAGAGACATAGAGACAGAAAGCAAGAAATCACCCCCCAGGGGGGATGGTCACGCCACAATCCCTTCTCCTCCATTCTCCTCTGGGATCTTGGGCCCCCCCCGCCCGCTTCTGTAAAACATCCCTCAATAAATACGTATGTTTGATAGCCACTGACACTGCAGTCCTGAGCTTGCTCTGGCTGTAGTCGGATGAGAACATGCTGAAGGGCATCGAGTTCTCTGCCTGAATTTCTGCCCACCCGTGTCACCTTCCTGTGTACAAGCTTCAACCCACCCTGGCTGGAGCAGGCCTCCGGCATTGCAGCATGATCATCCCTCATGGGGGGAGTGGGAGAAGGTTGGTTGCTCTCTCTCTCCAGCTAACGCATACACCCCCTGGCAAATAAAAGAACAAAATCTTTTTGAGGTTGACATGAACTGTGTAGGAAGTTAAACTGATGGTCTCCTTTTCTGTAAGGAGCAAAGATATTAAAACGTAGATAATAAATGAGTTTTTACTCAAAACTGATGGAAAAAAAAAGAAAGTCACTGCAGCACTTTGTCCTCTTTCCTCCTGCATCAAAGATAGCTCAGAGGAGGTAGTAAGGCTAAAGGAATGGAAATGGGGAGGAGAAAGATGGAAACTGGGAGCAAGAAAACTTAGACTTATTTCTATAAAATAGGGAGAGACCTGTGAAAGGTTAACATCTCCTCGATGTTCCCTAATGCCTACTTAAGATGAGGCCACAGAATATAACTGTTAGGAAGGAACCTTAGAGAACCAAACTTTGCCCCAGAAGGGTTTTCCCAGAGAGCTAAACTGAAGCCCCCCCCACCCCATACCAGCCGGGAAGAAGTTGCTATTCCTGTGCTATGCAGAGACCACGAACTGCAGGTTTTCCTTTCTCCTCTTTAGTTAATGGCAATTTTAATGTTTCAATCTTGTTCCCACTATACTTTTAATGTTGGGAAATTTGGGAGCAGCTAACTTGTCTTTAAGTTTTTAGATTACTGGACTATTAGGAACTCTGGATCC